CCCGCATGCTCAGGCAAACACCAACTTCCGGGATCTTCTGTCAAGCCCGTGCAGTGGTTCAGGCAAGCGTCTGAACCGTGAGGAAGAGCTTCTGCCGCTCGGCGCTGAACTTTCTGGGCTCGCTCTGCCTTTGCCACAGCTGAGGCGACGACGATCTGCCGTGAAGGGATGCAGAGGTGCAGAGAGCACCGTTCGACTTGAGCTGCCGGCCGACGAGCTGCGACCAACTCCTCAGTCGCCACGAGACAGGGTGTGGCTCATCTACACATCCTGCACACGATCTTTGAGCGTTGGTCCTTGCGCTTTTGCTGGAACTCTGGGTCGGAGAAGCCCTGCAACAAGTCGCGCCTTAGCTGCCAATCGCGCATGAGTCCCTGACTATGCCACGCAGCCCTTCTACTGTGCCCGCAGTTCGATGCATGAAATTCCTTCACGGTTTCCGCAGCCTCTGCCTGCCGAGGTGCTGAAGGGCCAGAGCCTGCGACATGGAGAGCTTTGGTGGCTCGGGAACGGCCACCTTCACCTGCAAAGCAAAGCACAGCACGAGGCCAAGCTCATCGAAGCTCCTTTCACATCTGCCCACCTCCGGTTTGCTGCGCGGCTCCACGCTGGCCTCACCACACGGATCACAGAACAGAGAACCTTTTTCAGGGAAGCGATGCTCCTAGCGCCTGCAAGCTCTTCTCCGCAGGTACATCTTCGGCTGGCTCTTCGCCTGCTGGCCTCGGAAGCAGGTCAATGCGAGAGCACCATATGACACCATGCTCGACGAGGGCGGTGCCGCAAGCTGGGGATTCCCAGCACCAGCAAGGCACGGCGACCATTCAGCTTCTCGTTGTCCTGCAAGGATCCAGAAGGTGACCAAGATCCGGACAGCACCACTCTTGGCCTTGAAGGAGGAGAAGGCACCGTTCTCGCCGACAGGCTGCACCAAGCGGCAAGACCGGAGCAACTCGGGCTTGCCCAAGTGCGCCACCAAGGCCTCGCTGGTTCCCGAAATCTATATCTTTTCCAGTTCTGACCACATTCCATGACCACTATGAGCTTGGTTTGTTTTTTGATCATGTCGGGCCAATGCCTTCGTGTCGCAGCCCTCCAACAACTTCTCAAACTTCCAGGAAGAACGGAAGGATCTCAAGAGCTGCACACAGCTGCGTACGATCCCCACACACACTAAGCCACACACACACACACGCACACATACACTTACTTACTTACTTACTTACTTACTTACTTACTTACTTACTTACTTACTTACTTACTTACTTACTTACTTACTTACTTACTTACTTACTTACTTTACTTACCTACTTACTTACTTACTTACCTACTGTACCTAACATACCTACCTACCTACCTACCTACCTACCTACCCACCTACCTACTTACTTACTTCCCTTCATCCTGACCATCCTAAGACGAAAGAGTACTACATGCAAGACTCTGGCCTCCTTGATGCTCTTCATTGTCGTGTTGCTCTTCACGGTCAGGAGCACCTCCTGAGCTGGAGGCACTCGGAATTCGGGGCGGAATTCTTGGAAAACGCGTCAACAGCTGCATGGCCTCATTGGCCAAGGACCCCTCTGGCACAGCGTGCCGAATGATCACCTGTTTTTCAACGAGATCCCTGCTCTCTTGATGCATCGCAGTGCTATGTCCCTCGGAGATTTTCCGTTTGCGAGGTATTGCTTGCAGATTCGGCTGCCCGCCATCTGTCGCAGAATGTCGTTGAACAGGTTGTCTTTCCCTCCAGTGACCAGGAAGTCATCATCACCTCCAACTCGAGCTGGCCGCTTGATTCGCGGTTTCTTGGGATCATGGTAGTCTCCTATGATGAGCAGAACTTCCCCTATCTCGCGGCCAAGTCCAAAGTCAACAACCCAGCTGTCTCTCCTGTACAAATGCAGTTCGATGAGGCAGGAGTCCGATGCCATGAATAATACATTTGGGCTCCAGCCACCATTGGGAGCTAGGACAGCTCCGAATGATGAGAAGAAACGTGCCTGCTCAAGCAAGGTTGCTGGGGGGTCGTCCGCTATCGAAATTTCCAGCCGGGTATGAAACAAGGGTTTCAGCCTCTCCGGCTCCACAATCCGCCGCCAAGAAGACTTGCCACGCGTGTAAATTAGAACTCGGGAGTGGTCCTGTAAAGACAGCTGTTCACGCCCAAGAACAGACCTCCAAATCCTACCCTTCGCATAGTGCAACAAGTTCTTGGGTTTTAGGCTATAGTCACAGCAAGGTCCCACTGAACGCAGTATGTGCAGCTGCTTCCGTGCACAGTAGCGGACATCAGTCGTGTAGTTGTAGACCCGCCAATTGTGTGCATGTGCTACATTCCAGAAAAGGTCGTCTACCCAGTAGGATGTGTTGCTGCTGCATCTTCTGTCCACCAAGAGCGCCGTGTCAGAGCTTCCATAGAGTGTCATCCACCAGTATAGCGGCCAGAAGTTTTGATGAAAGTCATGGTTGATGTTGCTGTGACAGCGCAACACGACGAAGGCAACGCGATCGTGCGGCAAAAGGACGCCGTCTGCTCCCGCCCCCGGTGGGCCGCAGCACTTTGGCTTCACACCGCAGCGGCTTTCGGGATCTTTGGAAGTCGCCAGGCACCTCGTCTGCTTGCACGCCCCGGTGCAGGCCACATACTTCTTCTCCAAAGGAAACAGCCATTCTCCCTGAAATGCAGGTCTTGACGTCGTGGCAGCCGTGGCAACGCTCCCTGTATGGGAAAGCGCCACAGCTGATGCTGAAGCTGCTGTGGCGCAGGGCGGAAGCGAGGGAACTGTAAAATTTGGACTGAAACATTTCTTATTGTTGAAGCCATCTCGTGACGTCTTGCTCTCGCAGGGTTTGTCAGTCTTGAACCATGAGCTGTAGACCTCCACGGCCTTTTCAACAAAACGACTCATCTCAGACTGTCCAGGCACCCGGCCATCAGACTTTGGGCCAGAGTGCCCGCCGTGCAGGACAGAGGCTGTAAAGGAGTCAAAAGACTGCCTACATTTGAACCGCCCATATGTGTCCAATTCATATGCATGGGGCAATCCATCCACGCCGTTGTCTTTGGTTCGGGAATGCAGGACAATCCCACCAGCAGCCTGAAGGGTTGCCGCGAAGGACGGAAAGCTTCCTCCACCTCCAATGATTAACACGTTCGAGGAGGCGATCGTGTCCAAGTCACGCCGCAATCTCGTGTACCCACTGCTTCCGCTTCCTGATAATGCACGCCCGGCAAGAAACTTCAGTTTTGGAAACTCCGAGAGGCACGCGAACTCCCTGCTTCTGGGATTCAACTCGCCCACAACTACAATTTCTGTGTTCTGTGGAAGCATTTCCGGCACTGCAGCAAAAAGATAGCGCAGGGCATTCAAATACAGGTAGAGTGGACAAGAGTCGGGTCGGTCGCCCCGGCGAAGCTGCAGAGCGATTCGAAAAGCTGCGGATTCCCACTCAGTCGGTCGACTCTCTTGGAGCCGAATCGCATTGTACTGGGCCTGCAACCACTGCCATGACACCTCGTGCGTTACAGTTTGAAGTTCCGGGCAGGTCAGTTTGTAAACGACTGGCTTCGTTCGCTTTGGGTCGGGCCTAGGACTCAGCCGATGCGCGGTTCCACGAAACAAAGCCTGCCCGTTTTTCACCCGAACAACGTGTTCGCTCGACTTGTCTGACTGCAACGATGCTGTAACCAGTCGCGCTTCCTTCAAGATGGAACTGGAAGCGATTAGAGACGCGTTGCCCTTCACGCGATCTCTCGTGCATCCAAACAAAGCTCCAACGTTGCCTGTAGAATGGCCACCAGTCTCCCAATCACCAGTGTTGCAGACGTACTTGCAGCTGTACCTCGAGGAAAGCACAAGTATCCATTCCATACGCCGGAACATGCCTCCAATACCCTCGCCATTGTGACAGGGCCGTGCATTATAAACAAAGCAGGGCGGGAACGGACGAGTTGCCACGGCGTCCACCCTAGGCTGCGGAGATCCTATTATAAGAGATGTCGTCTTCTGGTCCGCCGGAGTAGGCAGAGTAGGCAACCGAGGCTCTGACTCGGACAAAGGCGACGGAGCCGTCGGAGCCCAGCCCCCTCCCTGAGCTTCAAGGCCGTGTCCAGGTGTGACATTCGGTGTGTTTGGACGGCCCATTTCCCCGACAGACCATGGAAAGGTCAAGATCGGGAAGAAGAACCAAGCGCAGAGTGGCAGGAAGCTCGCCACCAAGCCGACAATGAAGACACACGGATTTTCACATTGCGTCATGAAGGAAAAGCTTGCGATCAGGGAGATGCCATTCTCTACATGAACTGCCTCCTGAACTGGCTGCCCGACGTGCTGATTCATGCCCAAGCTTGCATTAGCAGCATTATCTACTTCAAAAGCATCGCCGAACCTCGATGTCGCGAACGGGGACTTGTTGCCGCTCCACTGGAGGTGTGGGCGTCTTCGGCTTTGCTTTACCCTTGGCCTTGGCAAAACAATGCTCTGCTCTGGACTCTCTGCCAAGCAGCCTGAGTGCCTGAGGAAGTAGCTTGGGTTGTGACAGCTGCCTCTGGAAATGCCTCTCAAAGCTTACCCCCCGTCCATCAGATCTTTGCAAAGCTCTTGCTGGCACAAGCTGCCAGAGCCCGGCGTCTAACCCTGTGGGCCGTCGGCAAAGAGTTGAACTTTCTGATGCTTTCATGCGCCTCTTTTCTGCAAACCGGGTCTCACAAAAGTCCTGTCAAGGACAGGCTAGTTCATACTCTCAATCTAAATATATCGAAACTGGATAGCATGTCAACAGGCCACTCACGTGCCGGCCGGGACGAGATTTCACTTTCCGTACTTCGTGTGGCTTCGAAGCCCAACTTCAAATCGAAGGACGTAACGTGCTGTCCCCGGGCCATACCTGAATCACGCGGTCGGCGCGCTGCCGCCCATGGCACCCTCGTACCAGGCACTCACCTGCTTCCAGTTCACGACGTTCCACCACGCCTTGATGTAATCCGGGCGCCGGTACTGGTACTTCAGGTAGTATGCATGCTCCCAGACGTCACAGCCAAGAATGGGAATGCCGGGCGTGCCCTCGACACCCTCCATCAGTGGGTTGTCCTGGTTGGGCGTGGAGGTAATTGCCAGCTTCCTGATTGCAGTAACAACGATATGGAAAGGTGAAGCGAAGGTTGAGAAATGCCATAGGGATGGAGATGGTCGTTACGTCCCGCGATCAGCAAACCCTAGCCACGAGACGTTCCAAATTATCAGTGCTTGCCTGTGAAAAATCGCTTAATATGCGGGTCGAAAGGGTAACATGCGTGAGCAAAAAACCAGGAAATTTCGACAGCATCTGAGCAGGGGCTCTTGTCAGCTGTCACCACCAGCCACACCCAGCCCGAACCGAAGCGAGCACCAGGAGCGCCGGCGGCTTCGAACTTGGCCTGCCCGACGGCCAGATGCTCGAAACTCCGTCCATTCCTCTACGCTTCTCCTCTCAGCTTCTTTGCCTCTTCCTCTCTGCCTCGCTCGCGTTGTCATAGTCGTTCTTGGGCCCGTCATCTTCTGTTCTTCTCGTATCATCCTGTTCTTGTTTCTCCTGTCATCCTATTATATTACCCTCTTGCTTCTCACTCCGTTCTCCTATGTCACCGCTCCTTCTGAAGCTCCGGGACACGGACACTCAAAAACACCCAGCGCAGTGTCAAAAGGATACAGGGGAAGCGACACTTCTGAAAGGCAGATCCTGCCTCACTCGCGAACAAGAGTTTTAGCTGGGGAGGGGGGGTAGGTAGGGGTGTGGGGCGCTGAGAAGACAAGAAGCAGCGGACGGGCACACTATCGAACTCAGCCTTGAAATCATCCATGGATCCAAAGGACGCATCTATGGCTGAAGAAAGCTTCTCGGAAGGTGAACCCCCGGTGCCAGTGGGAGCCATCTCCAACCAGAAGAAGTTGTGATTGTAGGCACCACCGCCACTGTTGCGGAATGCAGCACCGTCCTTGCATCTCGACTACAGCTTACAAGCCCTCTGCGCCAGTCTTTTTGGCACACATTGACATGCTTCAGATCAATTCAGCTGGGCTCCTTGATGGCCGTCTTCTGTAGCTCAACAAGAGGAGGCTGCTTCTTGTCCTTAAGAGCCTTATTGATGTTGGTCACATAGGTGAGATGATGCTTGTCGTGGTGGAACTCCATGGTGGCCTTGTCGATCGATGGCTCCAGTGCATCATAAGCATAGGGAAGGTCAGGGAGGTCATAGGCCTTGGCCGACTCCAGACCAATCAGGCTCGCCAAGCCAGTTGCCACGGTGGTGGCCACACCACGCCTGGTGGATGACCCTGCACCCGGCGTCACGAAGCACAGGTCCATACATTGACGTGCAGCAACCAAGACCAACGCTGCCACCACCAGCGCTGACACACCGCGCACTCGACGAGCCATGGCTTCGCGATTCGGGAAACCAACTTCTTCCCTTTCCTGAGCCTGCTTGCAATGCCTGAGGCCCCCCTTGCGTCAGAGAACCTTGGCTTTCAGAACCACTGCCGATGTAAGTGTGGGCCTCTCGCTTTGTCGGACGCGGTCGACCGTCTGGCATCAGCCGAAGAAGTGAGTTCAACTCGGACCTGACTGCACGGGCTGCTGCTTCAAACGGTTGCAAGATGTTGCAAGTCCTGGATCACGTGCTGCACCCTTTTTCTCGCAGACAGACCACTTTGCGTGTTCAGCCTCGAGCGGAAAATCCCGTCACAATGGGATAACATGCGCTTGCAATGCTTCACAGCTGCTGCTAGTGTTGCAAATCCCGACTTGTGGAGTATGCCGTATGGTGAAACGCTGCAGTCGATGACATGTGTCTGCTTCTGTTCGGCACTGCTTGTTCGCGTAGCACCTTGCTGCATTGCAGGGACAATCTGGTACAGCTTTTTCTGAAAGTTGCTTGACTTGCCAACCTGGTGGCGTCGCCGATGCGGCGCTACAATCACGACGTAGAAAAAGCAAGAGATGCCATCGAAGCAGCAGATGAAAATCATTGGTTCACTCTGAAGACGGTGAAACATGCTAAGCTCGAGCGGAATCTTACAGCTTGGCTTTACCAACTGCACATGCGTTTACCTTCATCAGGCAGCCTCAACGAGAGCTTGCATTCAAGGTAGTGGTGGTCGTAGGCTCCTTCATGTGATGGAGCTCGGAGCTATGCTGAATTTCCCCAGCAGTGCGAGATTCTCGGGGCGCTGGTCATCTTAGAATTGCATGCAATGACTGCGGTCAAGCATCGTCAATTATGCCTTGGTTGGCAAGGGCTCATGCTGCACTGCCGTGATGGTTTTGCTGAGTTCAGACAACACAGCCGGGGAGACTTGTGAAAAAAAAAGGACTTCGGCATCCAAGGAACCATTCATGACAATGGGTTCTGCTAGCCTCTCTTCCAGACATCCGCCGGCTGCCTGCTTTGCCCTGACGAAGTCAAGAAGACGACCTGTCTGATTGCCTTGGATTCGGCTCTTCAAGACTCCGCAACATGCGGAACACAAACGACGACACGTTTTGTAGCTGCGCAGCTTTCCGATGAACATAAGTTCAGCGGATCGTCGAGACCTGAGAGATCCATCCAATTATTCCACAGATGCAGATTCATCTCGTCTTCCTCATGTTTTTACCGTTGCACTCGTACTTTGGGTCTCGGGTCATCTTTGCCTGCGACGCAATGTTTGGGCTGGTGATTGGAGTTGGAGGGCTGCGTCTCAAGGTTCCGGGGCTGTGCAGACTTTGACTGTTATGCTCAATCTCCCTGACTGTCAATGGTCAGCGATGTTGATGCAAATGGGGCTAACGGCCGACGTTTAATCAAAAGATTCCACTCGCCGAGGGGCAGCATCCATTATCCTCATGCATGCAGCGGCACACTTTAACGATCCCGTAAGCTGAATGACTGCACTCATGGGGCCATGTGCAAGTGGGGGAACTGTCATGCCAAGTCACATTCTTGCAGAAGACACTGGGGCAGCACACGGTCAGGTCGCCGTCCGTGGTGCATGTGTCAGGGCAGCCCTGCCAAACAAAAAAACTATATGTATGGCGACAAAACATTGCCACTCAACACGGGGCCTTTCTGCTTTCCTCAAGGGCCGGCTTGGCATGACAAGATGTTTCAGGGCCTCACGGCCTAGTGAGCAGCATCGAAGTTGGAGTTTGAAAAGCAATGCTGCCGCACTCACTCTTGTCCTCTAGATGGAAACTTGAAGGAGTTCTCGGATACTGGAAGTTGGAGCCAAGTGCCGCCGCTTTTGAGAAGAACTGCTTCATTGCTCGGGGCTAATTACACTGAACGCTTCCCCCACTTTTGCATGCTGCAAAACACAAACCCATGACATGCTACGCGGACAGACGTTGCCTGGAGCAGAATAGCACAAACAATGCATACCTTAGCTGCTCTGCGTGCAGATTCACGCCAGTGATCTTGCTAGACACTGTCAGCCCAACCCTTCGCCGCACCCTCGCATAGCTGTCCGTAGCCGGCGCCTTCTGAATGCTAGAAAGTCACGCCGGAGAAGGTGAGTCTTCTACACAAATCGGCAGGCATGGGCACAGCACCTCGGACGTTCGCACCGGTCGTGGCTGTTTCGCAGTCAGAATCAGTCAGACAGGATGGACTAATAATCCACGATTCTGAGACAAGGAGCTTGCTGCTGTCTAGCCCAGTGGCACACTGTTTGGGCCAGATGTTGCAGAGTGTGGATCATGCTGGTTCTGTAAATGCCAACGGCTTAAAAGGAGAGACTGATCGAGCATCGCTGGGGATCATGACCCAAGTCGGACGAACTCCCCGTTGTGCTGCAGGTCGGGTCGGCGGAAGACTTCCTTTCCGGATGTCAGCATCAGCAGTGTATTCGGAGCTCGCTATCAAGCGATCACGACGAGCGCACCAGCATGTCGAAGACGCCCTTTAGGCTTCCCTGGAAGCCATACTTCGGCAGAACCTTGCTCTGAACCTGCGCATGCGGCATGCTGAACGCTCTGGCTGCATGCGACCGTATTGGCAGTCTGCCCTGCACAACTTGACTAGAGATTCCAGACCCAAGCATGCGGTCACGTCCAACTCTTCCGCTGTCTAAGATGAGCGCTGACAGGAACAGCTCTTGTCTCATCGGGATGAGCTTGGGATCCTGAGGCAGCATACCAGCAAGCTCAGCCATGCTCAGCGGTAGGGTGACTCGCATGCTTGTGGTGCCCAATGCCGGGCCTTTGCGTGGAAGTTCTCCAGGATGTCGAGCCTGCGATTGGGTGCTCATGTTGGACTCCGGGTCCGATGCCCATGACGGGAGATGCATCTCAGAGTTTCGACGATGCCTCCTTTGAAAGGCGGGGTCTGCAAATCCTGCATGAAGCTCCCGCTGCATGGCAATCACCTCTTGCAGTGAGCGGGGTACATACTCAGTGGTACGTATGAATGCGGAACTGAATGCACTGCACCTGTTGGACGCTGAGCTCTGGCAGTCCTTCGCATATTACTGCACTTTGCTTCACGGTTCCAGGATGCTCAAAGCATACATGGCGCTATGATGGAAGCTCCAGCTGGCTCATCGTTCGAGTCGACGTGATCCAGCTCCTGTGGTCAAGACGTCCAAGCGTGAGTTTAGCAATGCAAGCATTTCGATTAATTAACTGGTCCTCCATGGCACTGCGACCCATCGGCACCCTGTTCGCACTGCTGGGGGCATCCCGCAGATCCTGCATCGGTCTTTGATACGTAGTAGCTATATCTTTGCTGATCTTCCAGCCTGGGGACGACTGAAGAGCATCCCCGGTTCGAGTCGAAGTCGTCTCTCAACACCTGGGCCGTTCTGAGCACACCTGAAACTTGAAGTTGCAGCACACAGATTGGCTCCGGGGTTCGTGCCTTCTGCCAGTGATCGGACAGACTGATCACTTGAGTGCACCTCTTGCACAGCACAACTCGATTATAGCGGCATTATAGCCAATGTCCAGAATCGTTGTAGCCGTATCTGAAGCTCGTACAACGAACTTTTCACACCTGCCTTGACGGCGTCGATTACTCTCTGAAGCTTCCACCCCCTGCCGAGCACGAGCTCAGTCGCCTTCTGCACTGCCTCGAGGATCACACTTGACTCCCTTGAGGCCAATTCGCCTACTGTAAACAGCAACCATGTGTGGAGCGTGTCCAGGAGTCCCACCTGTCCCATGAGTTGAGTGATGCCGAGCTGCAACGCTATGCCGCCTCCTTGGTAGTTTCTGGGTGCGTTTTCTACCAGTGACTGTAGCAAGCTTGACTTCTGACCAAGATCCCAGCGGTCGTGCAATTTCTCCAACTGTACTTGCAAATCATCCTGCGAATTCCAACAATGCTTACAAGTACGATATCATCGCGTTGCCCACATTGAGAATCAGAAACCACGCGAGGCCTGCGCACAGGCGTTCTCGAGTTCCTGCGGCGACAGTTCTTCAACACCCAGACCACGCAAACTATTCTCACAGATCATGACACTTGGGTTCGGAAAGGTGGGCTTCCAGACTGAGGGCACATGCAGTCTGTGTCTGACGGCTCCTGAAGAAGACGTTTCATGGAGTCCAACGGCCTCAAAGGTGGCAGTTGCAAAGTTGCCTTGAAAAGAGTTGAAGGATCATTGAGCCAATCGCAGGGCAGTTTCTACAGGCTCTGTGTCGTCCAGCTCAACACCTCACGGAATCTGACGAATTGTCATGAATCCTAGAAATGCATGCTACATTATTATGAATTGTGGCGACCAGCGGCCAGCAGCCGGCTAAGAAGCGAGCCGAGCATCATCAGCTCGTTGCGACGGGAGCCATCGGGTGCCCAGCCAACAGTCTCCTGGTCCTCCGTGAAACCCCAGAAACAACTTGAATTGCACCAAATGCAAGGAAGGAGAGATGGACGTCCTTGAAGGCGATCCATGGTGAGGTGCCAGCACTCGCCTTGAACACGAACCTCGCTTTCCGTCGGATGTCATCCCTTCCAAGCTTCTTGGCCAAGGCTTCCCGAACAGCATCGAAAGTCCAGTTCGTCCATATGGTCAGTGTGATCTCGGGTCCTGCTTCAACAGCATGTCTTATCCTGATCTCATACTGCTGTGGCGGTGGAGGTGGCTTGGGCTTGGGTGGTGGAGCGGCCTTCTTGGGTGTCGGTTTGGGCTCAGGTGGTTTGGGCGGGGCGGGAGGAGGATCTGCGCTTGGATACGCAGATTCCTTTGCGCGAGGTGGTGGCTCTAGCCCTTCACGGCGGCGGGGCACAGAATACGAGTCGACACCTGCTCGCGAGCCCTCGTTGGGGCTCTGCACAGGTGCTTTGGGTTGCGCGGCATACGGATGGATTGGGGGTGGTTGATCGTCTTCTTGGTCTTCGACCGTTCGGAGATCAGCACCCAGTACCAAAACCTGGCCGAATGCTTGTGGAAAAACTCTCCGCTTGATAGTCTGGAACAAAAACAAATGGCAAAGCCTGACGAACGTCCCCGATGGGATCGTCATCCTCTTGCGAAAGCTGCTGTTAGGTGCTGTTAGGTCCTCCATGTGCTACACACTTGGTCTGGCCTTGTAGGTTGAATAGACGCCTCCTTTTTTCTGCACAAGCCTCAACAAACGGCAGCAAATTTACCAACAAGAAAACCCAGCTGCTTGCTTGCCTGCCCTTGCGCAGGATCTCGTCGCGACCTCAACAAATCGTCAAAACTGGAGCTGCTCCGCCAAATGGTTGCTTTACTCGCTGACTGATCAGTCAACCAGCTGAGGTTCAGGCCCAGAAATTTGGATATCGCCTGGTAGCTGGCTTGAAAGCAACAGTCATCTGGAAAGACTTGTGTCCTCCTATCGGTCCTATCGAAAACACGAACTCTGAGAGCCCAGAATATTTTGGTGAGAGATGCAAATGCACTGGACCACAAAGCAATGCTGTTTTGCATGCTTGAGCCATGATCCGAGTTCAAGTACCAACGGGTCTTCCAGGTCTACGACATGTCACATCATGGTGCTGTCATCTTCAGAGCGCAGTTTCCACACTCCCAAATTTTCTTTGGTACCGAACTCTTGTCCACTACCTTGACGAAGCTTACGCTGGTGGTTCCGGACTCCATCAGTTCATCGATCTGCGGGCTTTTCATCCGCTTCGTCAGGCCGTCCGCAACCATGGTGGACGTATCGATCCACAAAGCCACCGTAGTCGCCGAAGGAGGCGGTGAGTCCGCCAGCATTCGCCAACGTCTTCTCCGGGAGGTCGCCCGTTGCCTCAGGGCACTGAAGTCGATTGCCAAGCGCTTGTCTCCGACTGTGTGCAAACCTGGTTGCCGAAGGTGCTGCTCCAGGCTCTTGCAGTCCGTCATCATACGAATTTGCGGGCATCCATGGCCTTGATCAGGTCGGGCTTGCCCTCGCCATGCTCCATGCCGTAAAGGACGGCTCGTATGTCGAAGGCCTCGTACTTGACGTGCATCCCCTGGTTCACGTAGTTTAAGATTGCACATCAGCAGGTTTTCCACCAACGCCTTTTGCATTATGCAGCTTCGTAGACGATGTCCACACGACATACTCTGACCAACAACTTCAAGCTTCCAACGCAAGGATGCTCCTCAGCTGGTTCCGCTCTTGCTCCGTCATGTAGTGGCCCTTCTGCTTCTTGCGGTCGGCTCCAACGAAAATGGGCCGTACCGTCGCAGCGTTGTTGGGACACGTGACCGTGATCCCATTCTCGCCTTGTTCCACGGTTCTTCTGCAGTAGTCGAACTTGTCGCCAAACTCCAGAGCTCCAAACTTGAACTCCTTGATGATCTCATCCATCACCTTGTCCATCGCCTTCGTTCCGATGACTTTACCTTGGAGGCCATGTTGCTTGTCTTGGAGAACGTAGGCGGCATGCTCCCCGGGAAGTCCCTTCGACAGTGGGGGAACTGGGAAGGCTTCGAGGCAGTACGACATCATCCTCCCGGGCGACGTAAAGACGTTTGTCCAGGAAAATCCCGAGGCCGAGATCACCCCTACGAGATGGGCTGACAATAACAAGGCGCAACCCTGGGAGGACCCTCGCTACAAGTCGAGGATTGTGGTGAGAGCCCCTTGAAAGCGGAGCGAAAGGAGCTCGCACTGACAGCCCCACGGCATCCGCCATGATGTTCAACCTCCTTCTGAGCATCACGGCCAAAACAAGCGTTGGAGACTGCGCGGAGGCGACATCACGGCTTCATTCCTGCAGGGCGACGTGATCACCCACACCCTGATCCTGCGACCTCCACCAGGAGGACTTCCGGGAGTGCCAGAAGGAGCCTTACCACGAGCACACAAGCCCGTCTACGGCACCCGTAATGCGCCGCCATGTTTCTGGAAAGGGCCTTGTGAGTCCACCTCGTCGGACTCCTTGTGATAGTGAAGCTCCTTGGACCTGGCTGTCCAGCTCCGGAGCAGGTCCTCGAGCCATGAGTCCACGTGGCGATCTTGATCGAACTCTCGGCGTCCCCTCCAGAGGACCCACAGATCTTCGGATGGCAGTCTGAAGCTGGGTCATCTGTGGTGGACATGTCGACCACACTGGCGCCGTCGTAGCTGCAGCGGCACTTGTCCGTCTGCGAGAAGGTCCCATCTCTTGCTCTGGTTCACGAACAGCTGATGTACTCGACGATGCTCGCCCTGTGGCATATTGCCCCCTCCAGGCTGGTGCCTCGTCCTTGACCTCGTGGTTGGGCTGCTCGGCGAGGTCTCCAGGTAGAGTCGGATAGCGAGAGGCCGTCCTCCAGCTTGAGGTCCTGTCGAAGGGCTTGGGGTGCACTACCTCGCCGGCCACGCCCATGATTAGCCCAAGCACCTTCTGTGCCGACAACAGCAAGGGCGCTTCTGAGTCGCAGAACTCCGTGCTGCGAAGGTCCTGTTGCGCTAATCCGCCGTTCACGAGCTCCAGGCAAAGTCGCATTCCGTTGGTCCTCACTCCCCCGTTGATGCCTCGAAAGCTGCCAACGTCGTTGGCATCAAGGTCGGGCATCTCCTGTCCAGTGCTGCTCATGTAGCGTTCCAGCCACCGCGAGCCGTGGTTGGTTACAGGCCGTGTCCAGGCTTCATGTCCAGCAGCCATGAGGGCCATCGCAGGGTTGCCGGAGAGGCTGTTTCTCGTTAATGTTTCCGATCACCCATTTGCGGTAGTTCTCGTCCAGGTAGGCGACGTCGTAGGTGGAGTGCTTGTAGCGGCCAATCTTTTGTCCCCGTGCTCGAAGATGGCCTTGATGAGCGGCTGGTGCGTGGCTCTTTGAATTGTCCCGGATGTCGGCATTCTAGGTGCTGAGGCTGTTGAAGTCGTGGAGGGCGGTTGTCCAGACCAAGTGAGGTTGGCCGCAATGGCGAGATCCAACTCTTCGTGCAATCTCTCCGGATGTCGGAGGTTTTGTGTTAATCAGCTGGACGAAGGCTTCAAGGGTCTTCAGCACCTGGTCTCGTCCCAGCTCCGTTCCATTTGTCCCATGCCGCCACAGCGGCGTGGCGGTCACATACCTCCGGCCGCCTCATGGATCGCCTCGGGCTTGAAACACTCCCTGTAGCCGTAAGTGAGGCAGGCGCAGATGCGCACAATGAAATTGGAGCCCTTCCAGGTTGCCCGGCGGTGCTCACATCGGGCCGTGGTAGTAGACGTCGTCGGGGGTGGTGGTGCCGTTTCACGTTTGGTCTTGGTCAGCAGCATACCGCAGCCCTTGCACTGTGGTTGGTGGAAGTGCACATTGGAGCCAGCTGCTGTCACTCGTACATGCTGGCACTTGTTGTACATGAGACTGAGAAGACGACTGCTGACCCCTTTGCGAGCCTAGCACTTCGACGAGATACACCACAAGCCGGACAACCACAACAGTGGATGGAAATTCGAGCGCTGCCACCCTCGTAGCGGGCCGTGTCACTGCCTACTACACTGCAGGATGTGCCGCCAACGAGCCAGACAACCCTGGGCGATTGGTGGCCGCCCACATGGACAACTACTACTAGGAGAAGCAGGTGGCGCCGGCAGGGAGCTGCATGGCAGCCTATGGAGACCGATGACGTGGAATGGATCCAGCTTGTTCAAGCCCTCGGGCCAAGGCCAGGGACCCCGCATCACCACCGGCCCGAGCTACCTGGTCGACGACATCGGGACCCTCTATGGCAGCACATCACCCAGAGAACCCAGTACCCTTTATAATTAAGGAGTATGCCTTATATCATGAAAATAAGGCCCCTAAATTTCAAGATATTTTTTGAGGGGTATTGGGTTCTCTGGGTACTGACTCGCTTGGGTGTCCACGGGTGTGGAAAATAAGTAGACCGTCTTGGGGCCTTCCCCTTGCCACCAGGTGGTGACGAAGTGCTCGTGGTGCTCCTGGTGGACGATCCCTGCCCTTGCCTTTGCCCTTCTGGAGTGAGCAAACCGCGTCTCCACGCACCTTTTGCAGGTCGTCCTGGCCTTCAGCGCCTGCAACTTGGCTCGCTTTTGGTGGAGGGTGAAGCTCCCAGACAGCTCGAAGTGCGGCCCGCGGAAGCCACTGTGCCCCTTTGTTCTGCCCAGCGTTGTAAGCTTCCTCTTGCGACTGCACGATCTCCGCCGCATACTCACAGGCCTCAGGGTCTTCAAGGTCGAGGACGCTTTCCGTGAGGAAGGCCATGTGCTCCTCCGCGAACGTCCCATCTCATACGGCTCCGTCGGATCTCCTTCCTCTTGTCCCATGTAGCCGTAGGCATCGTCATCCTGGTAGTACGGGTGTTCGTAGAACGTCTCCTCCGTGTAGTCGGTTTTCCATGGTATTCCTGCTCCCTTTCCATACCCAGGTCGGTGTCCAGGAGGCTGGCCTCGTTGATCTCCAAAAGGTCGTCGGTGGTGTCCAGAATCCTTACGGGCAACTCGATCGAACTTCATGCCTCCTCCGATCGCCGTCCTTATCATAAGCTTCTGGTTGTTGAGCAGCTGCTCCGAGAGAATCAGGTCGGGCAGTTTGAGCTCCGCATTGAGGTCGGCCAGGGTCCCTCGCCGTCTAATGGACTCCACTGGCTGTCGAGCCAGTATTGAGCCGGTTTGAGCACCGGCTTCATACAATTCTCTCGCTTGCTGTAACCGTCTCGGGCGGAGCTCCTCCGTGAGGGTCGATTAAGTAGGTGAGGCCGGTCTCGGCCTTCGCGAGCTCCGCCATGTCGAGGCCCTGCGCTATCTTGAGTGCCTGGCCAGAGAAGCACTCAATCAGCCTCCAAGTGAAGGGTCCGAGCTTCTTTTGCTCCTCAACAACAGAAGATTCTTTCCTCTCCAGGGTCCTCGCTCATTCGTTGAGTCTGCTGGGGCTCCGTTGTATCGCGGTATCCCATATCTGCACTCGGCCCTCGGTGGTCGAGGTGTTCGCTCCCGTGGTATCTTCATCCGCCAAGAACATCCAACACGCTGCAGGAGGCCATCGCACATGTGGAGGGCACCAAAAGGGCCCGGAGCTTTTACAGCTCTGCTACCACTGCAAATGCACTGGAGCAGAAGGCAATGCTGTTTTGCATGCTTGGGTGCCAACAGGTCTTCCAGGTCTAAGACATGTCACATCATGGTGCTGTCATCTTAAGAGCGCGGTTTCCACAAGAGGTATGCCCGGATTGAATGTCAAGCAAGCTTAGGCTGTCTGCGCAAGTCTATAGCCTATACTTTACAAGTCTACTTGACGGCTGACAACTGCTCGACGAAGAGCCTGCTTGCAGTCAAAGAAAGTGGCGTCATGCGGAAGTGCCACTCGCACCTGCTAGCTGTTAGAATTTCTTCTGCTCCTGGTTTCAACGCGTAAGTGAAAGGCGACAGGCATCTCACCTCTGCATTGTCAACTGCATGTCGGGCCAGCACCTAGCATCGTAAGCCGCGTAAATCCATGAGCGGGACAATCCAGGAACGGTGGCCTCGATGCCCTGCCGCGATTTCGACTTTGGCGGTAGAGGCCTTGACAGAGGAGGCTGCCGGACCGAGTGGAGGAGCACAGTTTCTGGGATGCCCGTCTCTTGTCGTGGTGGCACCTGCTTCTCAAAGAGCGCGCATTGCTTTCACACACATCCACGCGGGGCCTTTGCGGGAGTCTTGCTGGGCTCGTCCTCCGGAAGAGGAGGGAAATCCTGCTCCTCGGAGCTGAGTGGTTCCCAAGGCTCTTTGTGCGGCAGGGGCAGACCCCTGCCTGGCCAGGCTCTCCAGGTATCCCGAAGAAAGCTCCGGGTGGCATTCTCAGCAAACGCTCAACCTGTTCCCAGAATTGTTGGTGTCTCGGCTGCCGTTGAACTCCGACGGGCCTCGTGAGCTTGAGCTTTGACATGGATATTCCACGAATGCTTGCTGACGCCACGTGCCATGTCCTGAAGCAAGCAATGAAATATAGACAGCAACATGGGAGAGGCAGTTCTTCTCGGAGATTGTCCTGGTACCCTTCCGTTGTGAGCGGAAAATCATACATTGCCTCAACGGGGAGTCGTGTTACAGCAATCTTGCAGATGACACCTGCTACATTCTGATATAGAAGTTCAACCGATTGAGTTGAGCACCATCGTCCGATTAAAGGACTGGCCAACAAACATGGGCTGCATTCTCTGCACCGCTTCCGACCCTGCAGAACATCTGTGTGTCAAGGCTCTCCATCTGTCCGAATGCACGAGCCTTGCTTGTGTATGTTGCCTAAAGTCTTCTGAAAGTCCTGGAAGCGCTTGCAGGAGCTCAAGAAAACTCTGCGCAGGCAAGTCCTTTGCGCTTGCGATCTCTCGGAAGGCCTCAAGCAGAAGCCGTGGCTCCAGCCGGACCCAACGGGTTCGGCTGCGGCCCTGGCCTTGAGCAGTTCCTTCGCTTCCCCCAGATTCAGCGCCCGATCTCGTGTGGGCTTCCTTGAGAGAAGACACCGGCTCCGCCGTGATCCGAAACGGAAGAAACGGCACTCCAGAACTCGACTCGAGGACAAGGCGGCTCCGACGCTTGCGGTTTCGCAGCCTGGCGCTGCACACATCCTGTTCTCTACTGACAAAAAGGCAGCAACTCGAGATGCGCCACGACATTCCGACTCTGCACGGGGTCGGCAAGCTGCTGCGATTGACCAAGTGCAATAGTCAGATAGTCATATCCGGAGACAAAACCTCGTTCCTGGCATCATACAAACAGGAGGAAGGCATTCTTGATGAGGGATGCCCCAGATCTGCACTTCCCAGTCAACGTTTCACCTCTACCATAACCACCAAACTCAATATTCGCACATTCGTCGGCATCTGTACATGAAACCTCGTGCATGAGGCGGCACATCAGGGTTGCGTGATTCTTCTGTTGCCGCCTGGGCTCGGGCTGGGTTTGCAATGCAACTCTGATGAAGGTGCCAATTGCCAAGCTCTCTTTCGCTAGGCGAGGAACAATATGCACAGCTTCCTTCTGCAAGACGCAATACACGCTCTAGAACAAACCTTGAAAGTGGGCCAATTTCAGAGTCAAAGCAGGAACCGCCGGCGAGCCTCGCAAGCACGACATATCACGGCCCATGGCCTCCCAGGCCCTGCAGGCCCCGGCTTCGCTTCCAGAGCGGCCCTTCGCCACTGAGGTCCTGGGAGTCGAGCGCACCATACCTCCCATGGGCCCACAGAAGAGGCCAACAGCAGCGGAATGCTTCCACGGAGGGCACATGCAGTTCGAGCGGCCGGCGGCCGCTGCAGCGCCTGCTGCTGCTGTTTGAGGCCTCGCTGTTGCACCTGCAAGATCTGCTGTAGAGCCTGCAGCTGGTCGATCTTGCTTTGGAGCTGCTCGGCCGACTGTGTTTGCGAGCTTTCCTCTTCGAAGAGTTGTCTTAGAAGGGGCTTGAAGTCCTTCAGGTGGACCTGTTGGGTCTGTTGAGTGTTGGCTGCAGCCTTGGCGGCATGTTCTGCGGGCACGGCCGTGGAACTCTGTAGCTGCCGCGGGATTGCATGCTGCGGCACGACGGAGCAGCGCTGCTCCTGGCTCCAAGCGGCTTGCGACAGACAGGAAGCTCGGACAAAGAGCTCTATGGGCTTCCTGCCGAGCCGGACCGTTCAGCTGCTGGATAACAAGTTGCGCTAGCGATTGGGATTCGGCAGTGGGCCTGAATGCACGGCGTGCTGATGATTGACGAATCGTATGTGAAGCTGGGCCTAAGGCCCTGACAGAGGCGGCTGGGGGAACAGCGATGGTGCGGAGCAGGACTGCGTGACAGTGACACGCCGCAGCTTGGGTGGCTCGCACCTGCGACTTCAGCACTGCATCCGGGCACGAGAATGCCGACATGCCGAGGGCACGGCGAGCTGCACCTGCCGAGGCCAAGAGGGACGGAGCACACCTCATGCTGAAATTCTTCAATTGGCACATCTCAGCTAGTGCAGCTAGCATCGGGCTGCCCACTGGTGTAGCCGAAGCGGTGGCCACGGCCACTGCACAGGGCCTGACAGGTCTCAGACGTTTAAGACAGTCTAAGAGTACAAAAGGCCAACACGCAGTCGTGAGTGCTGCCCCTTCCGGGATTCCGCGCGATCACATTTCCCAACGCAAGATTTCGAAGGCAATTATGACCACACAGGGCTTTCCAGCTTGACTCGTGAATGCGTGCTGCGTGCCTGTGTATGCTAGCGCAGTTCAGGCAGCAAGTAGTTATCCACACCAGTGTCTCGGACGTCCACGCATGCAAGCATCAGGGGTGAGCCTGAGGGCTGCTGTGGCAAGTCCATATTTTGCTGTTGCTTTTCATGCCTATGCTCCGCAAACCACTCGTGTCGAGCCCCAAGGCTTTGCTGACGATTGGAGCATTCTCTCAGTTCACCTGAGGAACTAGCTGCTCAAGACTGTTGATGCGGGCCAACATCAGTGGCTGTCAGGTGGCAAGTGTCAAATCCGATTTTTTTGTGATAGTGTGTTTGAAAGTTCACGGAAACCGAGCTAAGCTTTCATGTGCAGCACGCTCAGGCTCAGTGCTTGCCATATTCAAAAAAACAGGTTGTTAAATGCGTGCGCAAGCTCAGAAAGCTGCCGCTGATCCCACTTGCGAGGCAATTGGTCGTCTGCTGTTTGTGGCATTGAGCTTGTTTCTGCGTCAAAACCTTCTCTGCCGATCTCGCGAACTGAAGCTGCAAAAGCATGGTGTTATAGTTATAGCTGTGCTTGTGAACATCTTTCTTTGCCTCTCACACTCGGTGTACAGCAGGAAAAGAGACACTCAGATACTTGCTGTGCTTCAACAGCTACCATAGCGTTGTGCGGCCCTTGAAGTGCTTTCCAATTCTTACGAGCCACCATGCAAATTTTGATCGCTTCATGCCCTGGCGCAATCGATTCAAAACATTTCCACAGATCTGGATTGCCGCAGCCAGCAACAAACAAATTACCCCGAAGCAATGATTCCTATGCTCGCTTCGTACCAGTAGCAGGTATATAATCCGACCGAATTTGCAACAGGCCACGCAAAAGATACACCGAGTCAACACAGTGGAAACTGCCCAGAAGCCTGGATAGGTTTCGACAGAGACAGTGTGAGCTTGCCGAGCGCACACTACAAGTCCCAACAGACTGGTCAGCCTGAACAACGTCGAAAACGCTTCGTTTTGCTGTTCAAGTTTTTCAGCATCAAAACTTTAGGAATCAAGAAACCTTCGACATCTGGCACCAAAGGACAAACATCTTCCTGGTGGGCAAACTGTCAGATGTGTAAGGTGCTCTGCACAGGTGCAACAGCTTGGCATGGAGGCAACAGTTATCTGCAAAACCTGCGTATAAATGCATGCGAACAGCGTCCTGGTCCATTCGTGCTTCAAGATATATCGCCGTATGGAAAAGTCATCTTTAACGAAGCCAAGCGAATAACTGAACGGGTGCTAAGGCTTCCGACAAAGCCTGCGCAGGACCCCTGCGCTTGGCGGGCCAAACAACCAGCTTCACAATCTCTACAACCTAAAAACCCGAAAGCACATCATAATTTTGAAGCTGAGTTGCACACAATGCAAGATATCTCCGGATCAACAGATTCCCTGACCGGCTGCAGTATTGCCGTGCATTGTACATACAAGCTGCCCAAAAGCAGCTCCCAAAGTCATGAATGTCTTGAATTCGTTACTCATTCAGCTGAGGAACGCTTCGCTTTGCCACCCGGCACAGAAATTGCAATACTTAGCTTGCCACGCTTGGAGTCTTCAGGTGATGGCAAGTCGTCTGAGTTAGTGCCTGCATCGGCTTTGCGGTTTGCTGCCTCGCAACTTCGTGCAGTCTGTTCGCCCTTGCGCCGCCAGTCTCAGACATGGTTTGCACAGCACAGCCGAATCTTGATAGTTGATACCCTCAGTTTTGTTGATTTACCTCCACTTCACGAACTGGAGGCAGCAGAAACACGTCCGTTGACCTCAGAGTCCAACCTACTCAAAATGTTGCCGGACGCTTGAGTTTGGCCCGGAGCCGCTGCCACAACCATGTGTTGACATGGAAGTCCTTGGAGTGATGCCCGCTACGTTAGGTGAGTGTCCTTCCGGAGGCACGTCCATTCAAGCAGCCACGCATCAGGCTTGTTGTTATTTCCTGTCGAGTGTAGAAGCCGCTTTGCACCATCCGTGCTTCACAGAGTCATAGCAGAAAGGCAGACAGTCTGTTTCGCTTTGCGCTGTGCTTTCTGTTGGGGGATGTCGTTTTGGGCATCAGGACACAATCGGGAACTGACTCGGACACGGGCCTGTCTGGCGTTTGGTGGGCCGATCTCGAGGGCGACTGACTCCTGGGAGAAAAAAACACCCGCAGCGTGGCCAGTGAGGCGTTTTCCGCTGGCCGCCAACCCCGGGCCTAGCAGGCAATCGGACTGGCACGGCCACGGTGTAGGCGCCCCTGGGCTGTCGACTGTCGCCGACTCTGGCTGCCCAACACCGGCCTGAAGGGTGGTGCCGGTGGTGCCGTCGCAGACAGATCTTTCGCCTGAGAGTCGGAGCGAGGACGCAGGCCAGGTAGTGCAGTGTGTGGTACCAAGCTCCGTGCGGCCGCTTGCCCTGGCGAGGAAGGTGGCCTTTGCGTGCTCCATGCCCGAAGTTCGGGGCTCAAAACCAAAGCTTTTCCAAAGCTCGCAGGGGCTCAGGCGGCACGACCGTCGCTCGCACCTTCCTGTCCGGCCCACCTCCCAAGGCTCCACGATGCTACACGCCCAAGAGTCCAAGAGTGTCGGAGGCTGGACTCTCAATTCGAGGGCTCACCCGTTCTTCGAGGAGTGGCTACAACGGGTGCAACCTTTGATCACGACTGATCATATATATGCAAGGCAAGGTGTCTGCCAGGCGTGGCCAGCTAAGGCTGATCTTCGTAAGTGTGACACGGAAGCTCCCGATGTGGACATCCAAGCTCTCCGGGACAAGGTTGAGGCCTCGATTCCGCAAAGCATCAGAACACGCTCATCCCGATCATGTTGGCCCCGGGCCTCACTGTTAGGCTGTGAGACCTGACGAAGATGTGAAGAGGCTCGGAACCGACACGGTGAGTGAATATGAGCCCGCGCCTCCCTTACCCGAGGACTGTGTCCGACTTGGCTACGTGGACCTGCCGCAACGCCTACAGACAGAGACTGCACAGGATCTCAGAGCCCCTGAAGCACATGCCCGGCTGCTTCACAGGACCATGTGTAGTCACAGTTTGTCACACTCCTAAGCTCACACCAGCAAACCTGGAACAGCAGCAGTCGCTGTCATTCTGCCAGGCCTCACACACCGCAGCCCGGAAGTGATTGCAAGCACAACACGCGCCAAGGAACTTAACACCTGCTGCGTGCGAAGCACTCAACCTCGCCTGTTGACCATCTTCACGTTAGCTTCCGTCCCTGGCAGCTGGAGCTAGAATCGGCAGATCGGCATGAGAGAGAAGGCTTCTTGTATTGAGCCGCCTGCAATGCCGCATTAAGGCACCATCCAGCGGACTCAAGCTTGCAGCCAGTATCTTCAGAAAATTAGCGACCCTTGATCATACAGACTCTAACAATGGGATCTTTATCATCAGGACCCCAATTCCTGGAAACCTCTCCTGTCTGCGAAGACCTCCTGAATTCCTAGCCGTTGCCGGAAAGCCTTCCAAGGCCCGGGTGAGAGCCTTGCCTCGTCTGCGACTCGCTTCATTCTGCTGCGAAGTCTCCTCAGCACAAGGAAAGTGCGCTTGCCTCGAGGCTCTAAAAGCCCAGCCGGGGCATTGGCCTTCCCGCATACAGCCTTCCCTGGTCTCGCTGGAGCGACTTCTTTTGCATCTTTGTCGTCTTCGCCTTTCAAGGTGACCGAATGACGGAGCTGGCGACACTTTGAAAGCTTCAGGCCGTGACTGCCAACATCATCCTGTCCGACTCCCGTGCTTTCCGTGGCCTGCCCACAGCAAGGGCCGCTGCAGCACATGTGACTGACCCGAAGCTTGGGTGAAGTATGCCGGAGTCCGTGACAAGCACCGGAAATTGTACTGCAGATGCCTCGGAGTCTTGCTTTGCCTTCTTCATGCCTCAGTCGTAGTTGCACTCTCCCCAATTCGACAGAAAGCTGACATGGGAAATTGAGGTGACAGCGATGCTCCTCAGCTCATGCCAAGGCCAAGGCGATAGGACAAGGGCGTTACGAAGCGCTTGACATCCTGATACGACATAGTTGAAAGAACAGGCACCCAAAACAAGCACAGGCCAGTGGCAGTGACGAATTCTCTCCTGCCTCGTAGCGCGACTCACCTCAAAAAGTGACTCAGCACGGCAGAGCGATTGGAATTCCTCTGAGCGTTTCTGGAACACGACTGTGAACCGACCATCTGCCAAAATGTCGAGGTACGGATTCGTCGAGGTCCTGGGCAGCGGGCTACGCATAGAATGGAAACTTGACCTGCATCGAAAGCATGCGACAAAACCAGAGAAGGATGTAGCACGTCAAGCTTCTTGGAGTCTGCAGAGCCGGGCAGGGCGCTGAGGACGACATGTGGATTGTGTGTTGGACGTGCGTGTCTTTTGTGAGTTAAATTCGTAAGCTCTGTGGCTGCGAGTGGCTTTCCAGTGACATGACCGGCTCTGACCATCTTCATTCAAACAGCTTCATGCAAAGACCGAGAGACGAAAAGACAGGACTGTTCACCCCTAACTGTCAGCAGTCAGCAAACTCAATGAAGTAGCACAGGCACTAGGACTGGCGAAAGTCGCCGGAGCAGTAGCTGTGGTGGCAGTCGTAGTTGTAGTCGGAGTCGTAGTCGTAGTCGCAGCAGTAGTATTTGGTCGTCGTAGTAGTAGTAGTAGCAGCAGTAGTAGTAGTAGTACTCACTCACAAGCGTCGCACGATCCGGGTGCATGACGAGGAGGTCAGACCATTCGGTCCGGCTGCTCTGTGGCAGCAGTGCGCATTTACGCACTACCTTTGAGGCAAAAGCTACTGACTTGAGTGCGACCACTGATTAGTCCATCTCTTCCAATAGAACATCCTCAAGAACTTGTGTGAGCTGCTCGGTATAGCTGTCATCGGCTGCTTCGGTATTCAGAGATGTGTCGGGAGGTGCAGCTGAATGAGCCGCCGAGTCCACAGCCGTATGAGCAGAAGACGGATTGGCTAGCATAGAGTCCGAATGAGCCGGCGTAGTCATCTGCATGGCACAGGTATCTCCTGAAGCAGCTGCAGTTGTGTCCGATTCTGTTTCCATGCCATGGTTTGCTGTACCATCCTCCAGCTGTGGTGCTGGTTCGTGCGCCTGGCCCACTACTCCTGAGCTGTAGCCAGTAAATAGCCCAAAATGCTCCCCTGGTGTAGTTGTAGCCATTGCCACAGCTGCGGCATCCTGAGCTGGCGTCGCCTGGTTCACCGTCACTTGCTGATCCCTATTAAGCTCCTGCTGTCGCTCTGTGCAACCATATGAGTGGCGTGAACCTCCACTGTCACGACAAATAGAGCAGCAGTGAACATGCTGAAAGTCTGCGAACCGCCAGCAGCCTGATTGCAGACAGATGGTGATCCGGCCTCGTAGTCGTCGTTGCTGGTTTTTGTCACAGCGTCGAGTGTGAAAACCATGCCGACACGATGAGCAGCAGTGACGATGACCTTCCTCCGTGAAAGGCCTTCTGCATCCCGGTGTGGGACAAATGCGCTCTCGGGCCGCT